CTCACCAGTGTGAACACGCCTATGTTTAGTCAGCTCACTATTTTGTGAAAAACTCTTGTTGCATATACTACAAGAATAAGGTTTCTCACCAGTGTGAACACGACTGTGTTCAGTCAGATGACTTTTTTGCGAAAAACTCTTGTTGCACAAATTGCAAGAATAAGGTTTCTCACCAGTGTGAACACGACTGTGTTCAGTCAGTTGACTTTTAAAGGAAAAACTCTTGTTGCATATTCTACAAGAATGAGGTTTATCACCAGTGTGAATACACCTGTGTTCAATTAGATAACTGTTTTGCGAAAAACTCTTGTTGCATTTACTACAAGAATAAGGCTTCTCACCAATATGAGCAAGACCCTGTTCTGTTAAATGATTCTGTTGTGAAAAACTCATATTACATAAACAACAAGAATAAGGTTTCTCAACAGTGTGAACACAACTCTTCTTATTCAGATGACTTTTGCATGAAAAAAACTCTTATTATATACTAGAATAAGGTTTTTCACCAGCGTGAACACGATTGTGTTTAGTTAGATTACTTTTTTGTGAAAAACTCCTATTACATAACTACAAGAGTAAGGTTTCTCAGCAGTATGAACATAACCGTGCGTAGTCAGATTACTTCTATGGGGAAAAGTCTTATAACATATATGACAGGAAAAAGGTTCCTCACCAGTGTGAACAGGAAGGTGTATAGTCAGATGAATTCTTTGTGGAAAACTATTGTTATATATACTACAAGAATAAGATTTCACTCTTGTACAAACACAACTGTACTTAGTCAGATAACTCTTAGGGGATATTTCCGTATCGCTCTCTGTGACGCCCACTAGATTCTCCAAGGCACGATTCAACCGAGGTCCTCTAATTAATGCCTTGAATAATAATGCCTATAATCTTTTCGACAAACATTGTGGAAGTATCTTAGAGCACACAAACTAAAATCAATTAATACATTTCGCACATATTAATGCAAGATTTGCTATTTAACATGATGCACAAATTATTTCGAGCAAATTTTTCCTGATTCAGATTTCCTAGCACATATAAGTTCGGATCATGGAGGCTCGGATTGTTTCGAATGAAGGATTGACAACTGCATGGATGTAGTATAGTGAGATGAGATCTTTGCTTAAGCTTATAGCTTTCTGATCCTATTAATAAGGATCTAGCTGAAGCTAGACATATGATGGATGGTTAACTGTATATGACAGTGGCGTAGAGCAATACTCTCTATCCATGGCAACACTTTCCATGAAAGAAGAGGGAAGTTTGGAGTTTCATAGATAAGAGGAACCCGCTAGAGGAAGTGAAGGTCCTATCTTCTCGGTGGCAACGAAAAATGGGTTACTTTTTTCAATCAGTGTGGCGACTTTTTCTATCTGTTAAATCGCCACATCGCCAGTGTTCGTGTGCATGTTTGTTGTTAATTTCACGTGCCGAAATTTTACTGCATGGAGTAGAAATCTAATCTGTTGTGGTAAGTAAAAATTAATATGTTAGTTTTATACATTTATTTTTAACTAATTAAATTTTAAAACATTGCATGAATGTTAATATATTACGTTCTATAAAACGTAAACATCTTTCACGTGTTATTTTCCATTGAGAATGAATTTTATAATTCAACTTTACTAGAAATTTATTTTTATATGCATTAATTGATTGGGCCGTTATTGTTTAAAAAATTTGTTGGATAAT